CTATGCAAGTTGGGGATATATGACATCTACTCCCAACTTGAGGGGGAGTGTTGAGTGGGCCGACTTGTGTTCAGTTTATTTCCTTTTAAATTAAGATGTTGTTGGGCCTTGGGCCCATTAGTCTTTATTTTTTAAAGAGTTGTAATTACTTAAGTTGAGTTGCTGCCCTACTTAGGGCATCTTTGTAATATCTCATACTTAAGTTAATTATAAATAGAATGAGGGGCTGGCGGCTAGGGTTAAGTCAATCAATCCTAGTCGACCTTCTTCTCTTTTCTTTCCTTTCCTTTGCCTCTTGCTGAAATCCCCAACTTTCTACTCTTCCTTTCACAAGAAGCTTGGCCGAAATCAGCACATAAGATTTCTAAATATGCCTCTAATTCCTGACTTCTCCGAGTTACCAAGACTAAAGACATCAAAATTCGTCTTGATTAGGATAAGAGATAATGTCCGTAACAAGTTTGATACTCTCCAAGGGGATGCAGAGTAGTCATGGTTTGCCAATTCCAAATGATGTCATGAGTAATAAAAGGGGAAAAGGCATCCACTAAATGTACCCAATGGATCACTTTAAAAGACATGTTTTCTGTAATAGCTTTATTTCTTTGCAATTTTTCCTTGAAGATCCTAGCATTCCTTTCTTCACATAGATACCAAAAAAGTAAATGCTCTTACACATCTCCATAACCAATTACCCCTCTTCTTAGGAGGAAAGAAAAAGGAAAGGCTGAAGATGCTTTTTATGTCCCCAGGAGGATTCCACCTACAGCCAAATAAAGTAACTCCCAAATGCAAAAAATGAACGATAGGAGATTAGCAGGTGGTGCATAGTCTCACAACTTGGCAACTTGCTAAACAAAGGAAACAAATATCCTGCAAGAGGTACCGATAGGGTCTTCTCTTTTGAAGGATCTCAGAAGTGTTGATCCTCATGTGTATATCTTTCCAACAGAAAACTTTAATTTTAGTGTCTTGCACAAGGTTTTAAAAGGCTAAAGGTGTAGTTGAGGTGTAAGCCTGTGAGGCGTATGCCCAAAAATTAAGAAAAAAAGTAATTAAAATTTATAAATAATAAAAATAACATGTAATATACTAAGTTAGAATGATGGAAGGTACAAATATCCATAAAATAGAAGTTTATAAGCAATAAGCTTTAAGTTTGAAGCATTAAATAAAATAATAATTAATCATCTAACAATTATAAGCATTTTACATTTCATGTTTCAAAATGCAACCTTATGAAATTATCCATATGAAGAATCATCTATATAATGGGCATTAGATTTATGGTCATCCAACAGTTGTGAAGAAAAGAAACAATGCAGTTGATTTGATCTATGCAAAAAGAAAAAAAAAACAATAAAAAGAAAAATAAATCCATTAGGAAAAGGAATGAGAAAAGCAACAAACTTGGGATGTTCAATTAGAATATTAAGAAAATTCCACTTGATTTATCCAAGAAAACTAATAACATGATTGACCCTTTTTTTGCACTGAACTCTCCTAAGCTAAAATACTATGAGAAACTAATAGAACTTGATTTGCCTTATTGGTTTTTCATTTTTACTCTTTTTATTTGGCCCATAATTATTAAAGTGTTTTTTCTATATATTTTAAACTATAAAAAATACATAAAAATATGTATTTTTTTGGCTTACGCCTTTTTGCGCCTCATGCCTTAAGGCTTGAGGCTTATGCCTCATTCTGACAAAGGCTTAAGCCTCAAACCATAATTGTGAGGCTTAAGCCTTGAGGCAAAATCTTAGCGCCTCGCTTCAAGGCGTACGCCTCACGCCTCAAGGCTTAAGCCTTTTAAAACAATGGTCTTGCATCCCTTTTAGGTAGTCAGCCTCAGCTAAACTCTCCCTTCATATTTCTTTCACTTGGTATAATACCCCAATAAATTTGGTTTCTATATACCCCAGACTTTGCCAAACCATCAGCTAGGTGGTTAGCTGACCTTGATGTCCACCCTGTATTGGACTTTAATTTCCAAAGACAGTCTTGATATTTCCCTTATCATATGTCTGTATTTTTACAATCCCACTTTGTTGTTCTTAGCCCAAGCCACTACAATCCCTATTGCTCCTGAAAATGTTATGTAAATGTGTCCTTCCCAATTCCTGAAAACAACACCAATTCTAATAGAGCTTCCAGCCTTAGACTGAGTTTGTTTTTATTTGTTAGAAAACTAAAATTCTGTTTAAAAGAAAATGTGAGGGAAATACATTCTCATGTATTAAGATGTCACTGAAAAACAAAAATAAAAGAAACACCCCAAATTCATACCCCCTTCATTACAAACAACCCACGTACTAGCATAAACAGAAAAATATTGAAAAAAAAAACTTTACACTTGATACCACTACTAACTGCCATGGTTCACAATTTTGATTTCAATAGACATTTCACTATGTAGAGATGGGAAAATTTCAGGGAAATTTCACTAATTTCACCAAGATATTTGGAAAATGTAAAAAAAAAAATCAGAGAATTTTTCTAGAAACATAGAATTAATTAATAAACCTTAAGGAATTGTTAGATTATAATTGCACATTTAAGGCTCAAAAGACTGTAGCAAACAACAATATAAATCAAATAAGAGAATATTAAGAGACTTAAATAGGTACCTTTCTCTTTGTCTCCCATTTTAGTCTTTTAGCCATCTTCTCTTCATTACATACACCATTTACTTGCCATTTTGACTTTTTCTTGGGAAATGATTGTGGTATCTGCCTCTAGAACTAGATGGTGTTTTGGATAATGGTTGGGATGCAAAGGTGTCTCATCTTGCTTCAGCTTCTTCACCCTAGAAAGCCATTCATGAGGTACTCCCTACTTTCCTAAATCTCACAAGGTTTGATGTAGGTTGTGGAAATATTCCTTTTTTAGGAAGACATTTGGCTGGGTGATACCACTCTCAAAACCCAATTCCCCTTGCTTTATTCTCTTTCCAGCTTTCAAAAGAAACCCTTTGCTTCTTCCTAGAGCACCTCAAATTCTAGGTTAAATTGGGATTTTGGATTCATAAGAGGCCTAATAGAAAGAGAGTGTGAACTTGTGATTGAACTGTTAAATAAGGGTTTGCTATGTTCTGTGGTTGGAAAAGGTGTGATTGAACCATGGTTGGTGCATTCTATAGGCTGTAGTGTGGTGTGTTCTAGGATGAACCACAATAAAAAATATATTCTGAAATGTGGTGGAGAAGCAGGGAATAAGAGATAAATACAAAAGGAGGGGTGTGGCGCATTTGGAAACACGAAAAATTAACGTTGCTGGATTGGCACGAGATTTTGCATTACAGAACCAACCACAGCTCATTTTGGAACAAACAGCACCCCTGAAAGAACGGGTTGAAACACGCCAAAACCACGTTACCAAATGCCGCCTAAATTAGGGTCAGTTTTTTTGAACCCAAGGGTGGATGACAATAGAATTTGGAAACCTTCTCCTTCTAGACTTTTTTCTTGTGTTCATTTTTTGATACCCTAGTCTTTTCAGTTTCAGGAAGGAACCTTTCTTGCAAAAGAAATTTGGAGCAAACCTACTCATCCTAAAGTACAAGCCTTCTGCTAGGAAGCTTTCCTTGGAAAGATAAACACCTATAATGTTCTTCAAAGAAGAAGGCCATATAAATGCCTTTCTCCTCATAAGTGTGTTCTATGCAAGGAAAATGGACAAACCATCCCTCATTTACTAATCTCCTGTACTTTTGTGAATTGTGTTTGGGTGTGCATTCCTTCTCTCTTTGAATGCAGGAGGAACCCTCCACAAGATATTACAACACTGTTGAGCCCAGGCTTTTTTCAGACAAACAAAAAAGAGGGGAAGCCTATTATGGAAGGCAACCAAGGAAGCAACTAGTTTGACAATTTGGGAAGAAAGAAATGAAGGAATCTTAAAGGGAAAAGTTTAGGAGTTTAGAAGATATTGTAGAGGGCATAAAGACAAAAACTGCTCACTAGGTAAAAAATTTGGAAGCATTCCAAGTGGTGACAGTAGGTGATATCCTATGAGTCTGGAATGAAGTAGCAAAGCTCTACCTTTGTGAAAGACAATAATAATAGACTGGAAGCCTCCAAATAATAAAATGAAATTGAACTTTGATGGAAGCTGGGCCCATTGCAGTAGGGGATTCTGCAAGGGCTGTAAGTGTTAGCCTTGCACCAAGGAATAAAGATAGCAAAAAACGTGGATTTCAGCATGTAGAGATTGAGGGTGACTTAAAATTGGTAATCTCTTGGATGGGCAGAAACCCGGGTGTGTGGAATGGGATGGTTGACATCTTTTAGATGGGTAAAGAGAACTTTTATAAGAGAAATTAAGAGCATAAAAAAGGAGCTAGAGGCAACTTTTAGATGGGTAAAGAGAATGGTAAATGGTATGGCTGCCATCTTGCTTAAACAAGGGGTGTATAGTGAACAATTTTTCTGGGCACATTTGTTATTGGGGCTTCTAAGTTTGTAAAGGGGGTGAATACATTTGTAAAAGAATCTTGTTGTAATGTTTTCTTTGTGAATTATGAAATGAACCGATTACTGATCCAAACAAAAAAAATCTCATCATCTTCAAAGTCTTCTTATTGCTCAGATATCTTCTTGTTGTGAATGATGAGAAAGAAGAAAGTTGAGAAGAGTAAAGACCATTGGTCCAACAATATCACATGCCAATATACCTCTCTGGTGTGAGAGTCTTTATGTAATATGAAAATTATCCAAAATTACAACCTCCTAATGGGGATGATATTACATTCAAGTCCCTAACTATATATTTTCTTCCTAAAATAACCCTTTCTCATGCAAATTGAGTATTCCAACATGAATGGAAAATGAAGAAATGAATCAATGCAGGCATGTATATATGTAAAAAATATGTATATTGTATAAAAGCATGTGTGCTTAGATGTATAATGCACATTTAACATATTAAAATCACTACTCATCAACAGATCATACCAGATAGAAAAACTTAAAAATACAGGAAAAAGAGAGAACTTATACCTGGGCTTCTGCACGGAGATCAGTGTATGGAACAACACCAGTAAGCAGCTCACTGCAATAAATTGAGTTAAAAATTCTTTTTCAGCATGAAACTTAAGGAAAAAGCATATAACAGATCACTAAAAGTAATTGTTATTGCTGATACAGTTTTTTTATAAGTAAAAATTCTTTAAAATTTCATTAAATCAGTAAAGATAAGCAACTGATACAAATTTCAACAAGAACATGTTAATATAAACATCCAAATCTAAAGATTGTAGAAGAAAGCAGGCAATGAAACCAAATTTATAGAATTGGGTCTTTGTGAATGAAGCAAGCTCTAAATATAAAGATTTTTATGTCTAGCTAAAGCAAGAGTGCAAAGAGTTTATTGACAGCTATTGATGCATTTAAGTTTTCAAATGTTATGCCCTATTCAATTTGTCATTAAATCACACCTTTTGATACATTAGAGGAGTTAGAAAGCATTAATGGAGGTTCACCTCTCCAGAGTAGTTTCTATTGGGGTTGGTGTCATTAGGTAGCCACCCCTTTCTTCTACAAGAGTAAGACCTCTCCATCCCACCCCTTCCCCCTAAAGAGAGGTAGGCCATGGGATGGAAAGTAAGATCATTTACTTGTGGTCCTACTTTGGTTTTAAAGGGTCTTGTATGGGCTTTAAAATAGATTCAATAACTCACTTTATTTAAATAACAGAAATATGTCAGTTTATGGTGAATCCTATTTTCTTTTAAGTGAAATAAGATATTATCAGATGCATCATAATACTTGGTCCCTGTTCAGAAAGGATCTTATAATCATTAGATCATGATGATCAAAGCCATCCAAAATAGATTCATTAAATACCAAGTTTTCATACCAGAGTATGCACTGAGTTTTTTTTTTATGATCAGCAAAATAGATTCATTAAATTAAAAAAGAAATAAGTTTGGTATAACGTTGGAGCACTCCATTCAACACCCAGTATACAGTTTTACACTTTTGCCCAAACAAATGGTCTCTATTTACCCCCTCTTCTGCTAGTATGCACTGAGGATTTTCTGATCAATATTTCTTTCCTTTCCTAAAGTGAACCTCACATACAAAGGATTTCAGCACAAAGTTTAATTTACTTTCATGGTTACTGTTGTGTCCCAAAAATTGGCTTGATTAAAGTATATTAAAAAAATTAAAAAAAAAACCTCCAACAAGATGCAAACCAACAACTTATATATGAAAATATAATTCCATCTCCAGTCAGATTTTCTTTGGAAGCAATTGACTAATGAACTACAATGTCCTAAATCCTTTACGATTTCCAAATGCTTACTTTATTGATATTCCAAAGCTATAGACATCTGACTTTTCTGTGTGTATGTCCTTCTTTAATATTTCAGGTGCCATATAGAGGAGGGTTCCAACCATATTCTTTTTATGGAAACCACCAGTTGGCTTTCCAGATGATTTCCAGTTTTCAATAGAGATTTTCCTAAGATCTTTTTTGTACTCTGCCAACCCAAAATCTGCTAGATGTGGATAATAATTTCTGTCAAGCTGCAGCACAACCACAAGCAATGGTTTTATCAGTGTCTTAGAGTTGAAAACGAGGAAACCAAAATATAGAAAAGAATTGATGCGAATTTAAAAATATAAATAAAGAGTAAACATGAGGATAGGTAGATAAAATAGATTATTACAAGAATATTTGCTGGTTTCACATCCCTATGTGCAATTCCAAGGCTATGTAGATACTGAAGAGCTTGCGCTGAAAAAAGAAGACAAACAAACATTGCAAACCTTTAGTTATTATTGTAGTAGACAGAAGATGCAATATATAAATATCAGATTAGCTACAAGGATACAAACAGCTTAATGTAATACTACCAAATATACAATGTGAACATTTCTATGCATCTACGTTATTTCTATTTTATAAACACAAAGATGGCTTTGTTATTTACCTTTAAAACATGTTGTATGATGGACACATAGACCTGGATAATTCTTCAGGTCCCTCAAAAACAAAAAATAAAAACAATAAAAAAAGATGAATATTTATTTTGAATATATAGAAAAACTTTTCTGCCCAAAAGAATTGCCAGTTTTATGTTTTTCCTTCAAAAAATAATAAATAGATTGCATTTGTAAATCTGTTTATAGTTTTTCTTATGTTAGAGAGTTTTTGTTATGTAAACAAAAAAAATTATGATTTTTCCATTTCTGGATACATGTGGGACAATAATTGCAGGAGATGGATGCAACCATCAAGTCCCTTGTAGACAAAGAAAAAGAAAAGAGTTTCATAATGAAATAGAAGAAAAATTTTTATTAATCACAAGAAAATGTGCATATGGATGATGAGGTGATGGCATAGCACCCCAAACAGAAAAGCCCGAAATCAAAGAAAAAGAAATCAACATCCTCAATAAAATCATCACTCTACATTTCCCTAATGCAACTCTGGTGTAACCCAAAAAGATGTCCTAAAAGAGCTTCTTTGAATATCAGCATATTCTGGATGAACAAGAACCTAATCCAGAATCAGATTCCCAGCAATGAAACATACTCATTCATGGTTCACTGTTTGTTATTTCTTTCCTTCCAAATACACGAAACCACTGCAAACAGGATGTATCTCTAGAAGATGTTAGCTCTCTTGCTTCCATAAATCCTTGGTCGTGTAGCAAAATTTTCTCTTGAATTTAATGGTTGCCACCCAGATCTTCTAAATAGAGAAAGTAAGAAACCCCAAACGAATTTTGTAAAGCTGCAAGAAATAACAAGATGACTAGAATCTTCTTTGTTGTTAAGGGGTAGCAAATACAGGGAAACTGAAAGCATCTCATCTTTAGTTGATCTAAGGTCATTATGCTTTTCATCACCACAAGCCATGCAAAACCTCCACCCTTAACCCCTGCTCGCAGCAAATGGAACCCCTTCCCAACCAAAACAAAAAAGATGCTAATATTCTGTAGAAATGGAAATCTCAACCTGTTCAACCTCACCCAACCTTTGATTTCTCTAGGAAGCTCTGTCTTGGATAGAACATATCTTGCCATTGTTTGTCTACTCCTCTTGTGGTGAGGTCGTCAGACATGGTATTGCCTTCACAGCTTCCATAACCATAGTTAATGCCATATTTCATATTCTCCAACAACTGAACAATGTCTCTGCACCATTATGTCACATACCAGGGAGGCTTTTAGTTCAGGGATACCCAATTGATTACAATAGAAGAGTCACTCAATACTCTAATTTTGCAGCCAAGGTTTAAGACTTGCCAATAATAAAGTCCATCCAGTAAGGCTCTAATTTCTGTAACCAGATTTTAGTAACACCATAAGCATGTGAAAAGGCCAGTAAAACTTTTCCTGTCACATCTCTGAAGCAAGTCCCTTCCACTTCCGGGATTCCTTCTGGATATTCCATCAACATTTGACCTCCCCCACCCAAGAAATCACCAATAGAAGAGTATAAATTTGGAAGGCCTGGGTGAGCCCAGTTCCTGAAACCATCTAATAACTTTGTCTGCTATTGAACCTGGCTTTACCTAGCATCTTCAAAAGTTCGGAAATTTGTCCCCGTCTATTGTTCCAAAACTTTAAATGTCAGCACCATACAGATAATGGAAGTGAGCTGGTTCCTTGTACCAGCTTTCTGAAACCATTGGCTAAATATCCCAATGAGTCTCTTTTAAGTCATAGTTGTCTTTGAGTGTGCAAGTTGGTTCTAATAATTCGAAATAGATAAGCCAGATAAGTAAGCTACCTTAAAGAGAGAAGATACAAATAAAACTCCCTAAATAGAAAGTCTATTAGAACTTTCCTTGATTTTTAAACCTAAAAATAGATAAACAATTTTAATTTACTAACACCCAAAAATAGGAACTTAACAAGACCTTTCCTTGAGTTTTTCCTAAAATCTTTTCTACAAGCATTTAATCAATAAAATTCTAAGAAGAAAAAAAAGGAAGTACAAAATACTTAGTGGTTCTGTATACCACTAAAGCAAGTGAAAAAATATTTAATGATATACTTCTATCAGATAAAACATTTATAGGAAGAAAAGTATACACTAGCTATATAAAACAGAAGCTTAACCGTAGACAACCTGATGCGATAGGGGCTGCAAATTTCAAATTACCAACCCAAATCCTAACCAAGAAAACCCAGGAACAACAAATTAGCCCTAAATATACCATAAGATGATGTTCAGAAATCAGGCTCCTCGCTGGAATGTCCTCCAGTCCTGGTTGAAAAATGTACACATTTTCCATTAAAAAGGAAAATGTGGAAATTATATGCTCTTTTCTTTCCAAAGTAATTTCCTCCCTATTGAAATTATATGCTCTCTCTCATTTCAGAGGATACCCACAAAAACCTCTTGTTCAAACACTAACATAAACCCAATTTCATGCCTAACTGTAAGAAAGAGTAACAACCACATTTGAAGATAAATTTAACAAGTAAAAGATGGAAAAGAAAAACAACAAATAAATATATAGATAAAGAATGAACTCAAACGCAGCAGAGTATAAGTTTACCGAGTTGAAAGGCGATCTTGAGCACCTGATCAATTCCCGGGTTCCATTCTTCAACATGTAATTGCTCGGCCAGATTCCGAGACTCATAAAACTGGAAGAAGAACATGTAATTGGGTGGCCTCGCATGGGCTGCAACCAATGTAGCTATCCCCGGATGATCTAGTTTGCTAATTAATTACCGAATTAAAAAAATGAGGTTAACGAAAGCCCACCTTCATGGGCATTGATCAAACAAATAATTAACCCAATACTCTCAAAATTCAGAAGAAAAAAAAATAATAAACAATGGATTTAACCAACCATAACATCTGTAACTCTTTATGGAATTTGTCAAGGTCTTCTGATGTAGACAAGATGGGTTTCTTCACTGCAACTCTTTTCCCATCTAGAATTCCTTCATAAACAACGCTTTCCGAACCTACAAGTCCACAAATATAAACAAAGAAAAACAAATAAGAACATGAACAAAATTTCCCTATATTTAATTAGAGAACTTTTCTTCCATCTTTCCTGCTCACTGGATTGGATTATAAGCAGTTACCTCGAGCAATTGGGGAGAGGAGAGTATACGATGAAGCTGGGAGATGCAAAGGGATGGTCTTGCTGCTGCAGCAGCCTCTTATGCAGGTGTTGGGCTCCAGTATCTGCACCCCCATCTCTCTCTCCCTCTCTCCCTTATGACTGATGAGGTGGGAAATCAGAGAAAAGGGATGGGAATCAAGAGAAGTTCTAATGGGTTCGTTTCAGTAGAGGTATTTTAGCTCAGACAAGCAAATAATTTGTCTAATTGACGATTGACACCGACACTGTTCTACAAAGAACACCCTTTTTGGCCTTGTTGGCTAAAAGAGAGGACCCATTACTTGGGAGCTGATCTCTGAATCCATCCAAATGGCGTTGGAAGAAGCCCCTTTCCTTTGTCAAGTTGTTTGGACGTTTATTCAGTTTGAGACTCACCTAGCAAAGAAATCTAGGTGAGCCACAATATTGAATATTCCATTTGGTCCCTTTCCTTCATTTTTTTTTATTTTTTATTTTTATGAATGGCTAAACATAAACATTGCCCTACATGAAGGGGTCATTTGATGACCACTGATGTGGCTGAAACTGAGTGACTTATTTTTTTGGTGAATATGGAGCTTGCAACTGAACTCTTTATTTTGGGTAATGGGCTAGGCAACAGGGTTAGCCCTCCGGCCTCCCCCAAACCTCTGGACCCTCATCCCATGTCTTCATTACAACCACCCAAAGACTTTAGAAGAAATCCAGCCACAATGTATTTCAAATTGTGTTACATATTAAATCAAAATTTCAATTATGGTATATGGTCTATTTTATTTTGATGGCTGTAATTTCAGATTTCTGAGGGAGAGTACAGTCTATTATTCCTTTTATTTTTTTATTACTTTATCTTTTGCAAAGTGTATTTATATAATGTATTTATTATATATTAAAGACTTTAACAATATTATAGATCCAACCATAGTATGTTAATTTATCATTAGTTCGAGTTTTTTTTTATTAATAGGCTCAATTTGGAAGGAATATATGTAAAGTGCAAAACCTTATATTTTGTATATATTTGCAGTGTACATATTTGTATTTGTATTCTTTCCGAACTGAACTATAGCGCATGTACCATAGATTTTGCTTTTCAAATTGTAGTGTTACATTTCTCTTTTGGCTTCATATGTCAAATAGATAATTTTGATTTAAAAAAAAAATGGTTGGACATATTTGAAATGATGATATCACATTTTGGTATTTTCTTCTTGCAAGAGCTTTGCCTATTAAATGTGAAAGTTTCATCATTGCTGAAGCTTTCTCTTTATCACGGTTTACTAGTAGTCCAAGAGCTTCAATTATCATGTGTTATAATTGAAGGTGATGCTTATAGTATTTTTAAACTCGTGTTGGTGGATGATCTCCATCCATCGTGGCAGTTGATCCATATCATGTAGTTGTCAGGCGGGGTTTATCTCTGTCTAGACTTTTTACTTGGTCTACTATTCTAAATTTTTTTATGTAATACTGTGGAAATGGACTCTTCATCGAGCTAATGGATTCAGTTGTTGTCCGCTATGTGTAAGCAAAAGGGGTTGCAAAACAGCATTTTTACTCCCCACAACTGAAGTGTGGGGAGCAACTGAAGTGTATGTGTTTGAACATCATAGCCGACATCATTCTCCTTGAGTTATTTTACATTTGATACTTAGGCTTCTTACAAGAGACCGATTGCTCCGCTCCACCCTGGTCTTCTCCACTTTTCCTCTTTCTTCGTTAAATACAAAACCTAATGGCAAGAGGAGAGATAAGACCATGTTTGGCATGGCTACATTACATTGCATTGCTGTTTGAGGCCCACATCAATGCCAAGTAGGTGTTTAAACATCAATGGCAAGAGATGTTTCTAATACACAGTTGGGATGTCCTATGAGGCATTGTGGGGTGCTGAATCTTAGGGGTGTCAATTGGATTGAATATGGTCCAATCCAATTCAGTCCAATGTGAGTCCACTACAAATGAATCATGTTCAATTTAATGAGTATTTTGGACTAGTCCAATTCAATGTTTGGACCGTTCAATCTGTTCAAATTTGTTTTAATTTTAATTGGTTTCAATTCAAATCCAGTCCATTGACACCTATATTCATATCTTATATCAATGGATCAAATATTGACTTAATCCAACCCAATCCAATATAAATTTATTACGAATAAATCAGATTCAATCAAATTTAATAAATATTTTGAACCAGATTGGTCCAATCCAATATGTTTTGTTCGTCTGTCCAATCTGTCCAAATTAACTTTGGACTTAATGGGATCCAGTCCAAAACTGGTCCATTGACACCTTTAGCGCTGATATGAACTCTTTATAGTGAAGTAGCAATACAACAAGGTGACTCGATTTTTTGAGCCTTATCCATTTGAGGAAGCAGCATTTTTTAGCTTACTTAACTGGTTAGGGTATTTTAGAAGATGCCTCTCCTTTCCATTCATTCTCTTTTACACACGACTTCTTGCATGAACCCAAATCACCACTAATCGGTTGTGTTCCAACGGTGCACAATATATGTACAATGGCTATTCGTCTACAGTCTACTATTTTGTAGAGAAATGATTAAGGTTTTGCTAATGTTAGTGTTAGTATAGAAATTTAATTTTGCTAGTGACAGTTTCTATGATTGGTTTTATTTTAGGCAGAACTATTGGGAATAATAACTATTGGTTGGTTACAAGGCTTTTAAATTTTAATCCATTCGTTGATCTCTAATTGTTCAAATCATCACCTGATTGACTTTGTATGTATTTGGTTTTGTTGGCATTTATTGAGTAAACGTTTTGTACTTAATCTGGCTGCAAAACTGAGAAAAACAATTAATGAAGGCATTTATGACATATAGGCGCCATTAGGCACCACATCAGCAAAGGTGCCAATAAACGCATACCCGTTGGGGGAAACTCCAAAATGAAACTTCCTGAAACGGGAAAAGGCACACAAAAATCGATACATACAGATGCGCATAATGAGGCCTTTGTTGATGGGGTGCCTATGTGGTAGTGTTTACTCAATAAATGCGCGTGGTTCCAAACACCTTCTTTCTGAGTCCAAGTCTTATAAAACCTGGCATTTTCCCAAAAATCATTGACAAAGTAAAAAAAGTCAACCCGAATGGTTGAAACGTGGAATTGGATGACCTGGTTAGTGGGCGACAGTTCTCATGTCAACTTAGGTTTTAAGTCCACATTTTAGGTTTAAAAAATTTAAAAATTTCCTTAAAGTCTAAACATTACTCGACCCCCTTTCCCGTATGTTTCTATGTTATTGTCTCTTTGTTCAGAATGTTAGAGGAGGAGATAATAGAGAGAACCTGAATGAACGAACAAACTCACATAGATTCCGCCATTGCTAGACACAAAAGAAGGTTGTTTTTCGTCTCCAATCACCGGTGACACCAAGGTCCCGTTCACTTTTCGTAAGTTACCTACCTAGGTAAATGCAGTTACCTGGGTAAGTTTTTCTTGGGAAACACTTACCAAGGTAAGTGTATTTACCCATGTTATTTTATTTCCCAAGTAAAAAAGAAAATGACCAATTTAGCCATAAAAATCCATTATTAAATGGGGCATTTTTGTCCCATTTAAGTGCTGGAATCTTTTCCCCCATGTGAGAAAGTTATTTACCCACCAAGGAGATGGGCATTACTGACCTAGGTAAGTGATACCTAGGAAAATAAACTTTCCCTAGTCCCCACATCAGTCTGAAAAAAAAAAAAAAAACATGGTATTCTTGGTCAATGGGAACCAAAATCCCATTGACCAACTTTCCCCCCTCTCAAAATCCAAAAAAAGAACGTCCCCAAATTCTTAACATTGGCATCTATTTTTTTTTTCATTTTTAGCATCTGTCTTGAGTTTGGGAAATGCCAATGCTCTGGCCGTTGAATGTACTTCTCATTGGTGATTGTATTGGGTTGGGTGATTCAAAGTTTCAAACTTCAGAGAGAGGTGCTCTAGTCTTTTATTTTATATTTTGTGTTTTTCATTTTTTTCTAGTTTTGTGTATATTTCATTTCCGATTTAAGGTTTTTTTTTTGTGTAAATCTATAGTTTCTAAGTTGTTGGAAGCAAGTCACTTTAAACCCATTAGTCTTTGCAACACCATTTACAAAGCCATGACCAAAATTCTAGTTAATAGGGTCAAACCTTTGCTTCATAAAATAATAAGTGAAAACCAAAGTGCTTTTATCTCAAGCAGGCAAATTCATGATAATATCCTAATTGCCCATGAAATAATTGATTTTATGAGGAAGGCAAAAGGGAAAAAAGCTTGGATGGTTTTAAAATTAGACATGAGTAAGGCTTACGACAGAGTGGAATGGAGTTTCTTAGAAATGGTGCTAAGGAAGCTAGGGTTTGGCAATAAATGGGTAGCTTGGATATTGGAGTGTATTTCAACAATGTCATATCAAATTCTAATTAATGGAGCTGTGGACAAACCCTTCCAACCAGAAAGGGGAATCAGACAAGGAGACCCCCTATCTCCATATATTCACTCCTCTTTGTGTCTGAAGCACTCTCCACTTACCTTCATAACCTTGTTTTGCAGAAAAAAAAGGTGTGAAAATAAATAGGGATTGTTTGGTAATTTCCTACCTCTTTTTTGCAGATGGCAGCTACCTCTTTACAAGGGAAACCCCATATGAAAGTCAAAATCTGGTGGAGGCAATTAAACTTTATGAAAATTCATCTTGTTAGTAGGTAAATTTCTTGAAGTCTGAGCTTTTTTTTCAGCAAAAATTTTCACCCAAGACTTCAAAAATTAATAGCTAGAAGACTAAAGATTAAAAAAGTGGATCATACTGGAACATATTTGGGTCTATACACAGTAGTGGAGAGATCAAAGAAAGATTTGTTTGGTCATCTAATAAGGAGGATAGAATCCAAAACTTCGAAATGGTATGGCCTTCTCCTATATAATGGAGGGAAAGAAGTAGTCCTTTTAAAATCAGTAGTAGCTGCCATTCAAACTATACAATGTCCTGCTTTCTGGTGAAGAAAATTTTGGTGGGGATCACATATAAAGAAGAAAAAATGCATTGGGTAAATTGGGAAATCATAATCAGAAATAAAAATGATGGTGTGTTGGGCTTCAAAGACCCAACTTGCTTCAAGGCTCTTTTAGCAAAGCAGGTTTGGAGGCTTTGTACAGAAGAAAATAATCTGGGGTGCAGAGTGATAAAAGCAAGATATCTAAGAGGGAAAAAAATTTTAAATGACAATTTGCAAAAGAGAAGGTCATGGGGATGGCAAAGTCTTCTAGCTGGGAGGGAAATTCTTAAAAAGGGGCATTTTGGAAAGTAAATTTAGGAGAGAAAGTGAAAATCTGGAGAGACCCTTGGTTAAAGGACTTCCCAAATTTCAGATTGATGGGG